ATTTCACAGGATTTGGGGAATGTCGAAATCGGGAACTGATTAGGTTTACGGGCATGAATTTCACAGGTTTACGGGTATGAAATGGGGTTAGGTGAAATGGGCAGGTTGATTCAGATTGTGAAAACAATAACTGCCTTTTCAACATCAGTCAAGATCCAATCTGAATCAAAAATACAAGTTAGCCCACTTTCTAAGTAGAAATGAGGTCACATTTTCCCCAAGGGAAAGGGACTGTTCAAAGAAATAACAAGTGGGCATCACGAGCTCCACATTTTTCCCTGTTTTCTGTACCGGAGAAACTTCAAAAAGTTTGGTCTTATAATTAACAAAAATTTTGCTACATGTACATGAATATGTACAAAATACATAATATCACGTGACGTTTTATCATTTATCAATTTAAAATAAAGTCAACTTTTTAATCCAATCTTTTCCCTTCATATCATTTTATTTAATTCATTATATACCATTTTTACGCACAAGTAGCATAATCAAATTAATAATACCAACTTTTACATATGGTAAACATAAATGTTATGCTTGTTCTGTTTTTTATAAAACCAAAGATCGCGAAATCACTCCTTCGAATTTGTGAGGAGATTGGCATATCATCGAATGTACTTTTAAAAACGACGCAGGTATTCAAAAACCTAGACGAGTTTAAGCAAAAGCAGCTATCCTGCTAGGGCATATTGATTCAAATCCGAGAGAGAACCCAACTTCTTGGGATTTTCCCAAGTTCAGCAGCAAAACACAACTCTTCATTTCAAGACTCAGGGCGTGTTCTGTCTAGCTTAAAATTCAATTAAAATTGAAAATACGATTATTATTGAATCTCACTCGCAATAAAAGTCAACAATAACTGCTAGTTTTTCAATTTTAATCCGATTTTAATCTCTACAAACACGCCATTAAAGTCATTCTCAAGAAGGCGAGGGTCTAATGGAAAATAAAATTGAGACGTTTATCCCTAAGAGCACAACTGCAAATCCGGTGAAGCCCAAAATTCTATAACCAAGAGACAATTACCAGAAAACATAATTAAGTGAAGAATTGATGAATGATTATAAATGAAGCTCTGGCTTATCAATTCAACGAACCCATTATACAAAACCGTGCTATTCAAGCGAGCATGATGCTACCAGAGAAACACAAATATCAGCGATAGGGAAAGACCTCGTAAAGAGACACGGAGTCCCTAAAATCAGATATCAAATAAATATGCTGGTTTAGAAGACACAGGCCAATCTGATATTTCACTTTAAAGTGAAAGAAGAACTACTTGGCATATTAATAGATCAATATCCAAAAATTATCCATTTCAACCATAGATCTATACTAGGATTTGGCTAAATTCAGTTTATAATTGAGAGACAAATATCAATTCATTCAAATAGAGAAATAGCTCTTCAATTTAAAGCAAAACTTAAAACAAGATTTAAGTATTTGGTCGAAAGAGTAAGTCAAAGTATAAATATTGTCTAACAAGAAAACTTAGCAAAACATCTCATCAGTCCTAAGAGCTTAGGCCTCTGCATCCTCGATGACTTGGACAACCTTGGCTGTCGGCTTTGCCAAAAGATCAGTGTACTCTTGGAAAGGAGATTTTGAGAAGCGAGTCTCCCTCCAAAAGTCTGGAGTCAGGAAGCCGTAAGTCTTCAAAAGACAATCAAAGGTTGCCTGTGAAGTGCAAAATTCATCAGCATCCAAAAGATAAATTACTTAATGAAATGACTACAGAACCAGTGTAAATTGCCAATGCCTTCATAAGTTAAAAAAGTTTGATAAAAATCTAAGTCAAACTCGACAATTAGTTTTAATCAAGGATGGGATAAACAACTTTTGTCTAACTTCTCAAGGCCGCATTTCTTCAACTTTTATCAAAATTTACTAAAAATCTGATTTTAAGCTAAAAACACTCAATAGTAGTTTAAAGAAGAAGATTTTAACTTCTATTACGACTTTAATACTGTCCGCTACAACAAACAAAGCCCAAAATAAAAATCTGCCATCTCATCATTGTAATTAAGGTAATCATCGTAACAATTAACAACTTGAAACAAACTTTAAGAGTATCAACAATTATATGTGTTGCCCAAAAGACATTTAATCAACAGAATGCATAAATTCTTACACACAAACACTTCTAGCATATCAGCAAATCCCATTGAAGTAAATTTCAGAACGAATTGCAATGACAGAGAATGAAAGCCAAAAATAAATCAAAGCACACCTTGACGAAGTTTCCAAGAGTCTTGGTGGAACCTCGGGAGGAGGTGAAGACGTCATCAATACCAGCAAATTGCAGAACCTTCTTGGGGACACGGGCAGCAACAATTCCGGCTCCACGAGGGGCGGGCACCATGCGGACAGTGACTGAACCACATTTTCCGGTGACCTTACATGGAACGGTGTGTGGCTTACCAATCTTGTTCCCCCAGTAGCCTCGCCTGACCGGAATCACAGAAAGCTTAGCCAATATAATTGAGCCACGAATCGCAGTTGCCACTTCCTTCGAGCACTTGACGCCGAGCCCAACGTGACCGTTCCCATCTCCGACCACCACGAACGCCTTGAATCGGGTCCTCTGACCGGCTCGGGTCTGCTTCTGGACCGGCATGATTTTCATCACCTCGTCTTTCAAAGAGGGGCCGATTAGGATATCGATGATTTGATACTCTTTGATTGGGAGGGAATGGAGGTAAATTTGCTCAATGGACTTGATTTTTCCGTCTCTTACCAGACGGCCAAGCTTCGTCACCGGAACCCAATCTTTCTCTTCGGAATCACGACGGCCCCCACGGCGGCCCCCACGTCGACCTCCTCTATCACCTCCACGTCCGCGGCCGCCAAAGCCACGTCCAAAGCCACCGCGATCTCCAGCGCCTCTCTCCGCCATTGTTAGGGTCTGTGAAATATGACCAAGAATTTAGGGTTTGCTAGCGTGACTCAAAACCCTCGCAGGAATAAGCCTATATAGTATAATGACATGGGCTTAGAGTTGATAAATACAAGCCCATATTGTTTGTGGCCCAAAGAGCCAAACTATATAAACACATAATGACTAATGAGCTTAAGAGTTGACAAAATTAAGCCCATGTTTGTGAATAGAATGAGCTTAGAGTTGACTAGAATCAAGCATCAAAACGGCAAGTCATTCTTAAGCGTCAGTCAATCACTATCTAATTAACTGCTTTCTTGAACATTCTCATTCTAAAACTAGCCTATAAGCTGCCTACCTCTCTTTCTTTCGGAAGGACGAGTTCATGCCTATTGAAGAACTCATTTCGTTCATCAAACCAAAAAACAAAGGAAATTCGAAGTACAAAAATTCCTTAAGACATGATATCCCTCAAGCAACACTTCAGTTTTTCTATGTTCGATCGTTGATTCAAGAACAAACAACCAGACATACATCACATCCTGTCATGATTGACGTGCCTTCTTCACTGTAAAGAGTTTCATTATTGACTATTAACGATGTAGGGAGGAGAAGAAAGCACATCAAATGAAAGTAGAAAATAGGCCTAAGTAGGTGGTAAAGGAGAATGGAACGTTAAGGTGAGAAAAAATACGAGATTTCTAAAAATAGATTGGAAACAATTTAAGGGCCCGTCTGCCCGAGATTCTTTCAGGGAGAAAATGGATTTTCCTACCGTTATTTTCTAAGTGTGGGAGTCCGCAACTCACAATTGGTCAAAGTTGTCATACCCAACATTTGTGTTTTCAATTCTCCAATGTTCTGAATTTTAATTTTCAGCGTAAACAGACAGGCCCTAAATACTCGAACGCATAAATATAATATTTATGTGCATTGCACGTGCATTCGACTAGCAGTAGATAGAAAGAGACCATTATTACAAATAATATATATTTTATATTACCCAACCCCAATTTGGTCCTTACCAAATCCCAGCAAATTTCCTCATTACCCAACTTTCCTTCCAAACGGAAAGGTCCATCGAAATAGACACACTTGTCCCGAATTCCTCTACCAATTACTCGTCTCTCTCTTTCAGGTCGGTGCTCATTCTCAAGATCAAGATTGCATCAATCTTTTTTTCATCTTTATTTTTTTGAGAAAAGCTTGATCTTGATTAATTACAGGCTTAATATCTCTGTATTAATCATATTATCACTTGTTACAATTAAAAACCTGCTAAATCTTTAATCATTTGGTGATGCTACACCTTTTTTTAAGTGTTATTTTGCGAAGATATTAACATTTGGGTTTCTGTATTCGAATTGCGATTTAGGAAAATTATTTTTGTTCTTTGTTTTTGATCTTGAATCTTGATATTGATTATTTTTTTAGTGGTATTCAGATTGAGTTAGTGGCACTGTGGAAGTTTTTAAGAAATAAATGTAATATTTAGAATATCCTTTTAGAATTATTAGTTTAGGTGTAGGAAAAAGGAAAAAAAGTTGGTTTGGAATAGATCTTAACTGTACTTTATAGTTTGGGTTATGAAAAGAGACATAGAGGAGATAAAATAAATAAAAATAAAACTGTAAATATGAAGGTGTGATTTGTCATTTGTTACTCGATCTTGGTGAGGTATTTAAGGAAGTAAAGGAAGCAGCAAAGCTTCGGCAATTATTGGAATTTTCTGGATTACGGTTCTAAAATCCAAAGATTCGAAAGAAATGTGTTTAATGGTTCTCCACTTGTATATTGCATACATTTGTATTGAGCTTTACACACACTCGATAACTTCTTAAAAGTTTAGTTCTTTAACAGCATCATCAGTTCTTTCTAGTTGGTGCAGTGTGTTCTCTCATTTAAAGAAACTCTATGAATTTTTATGCATCTCTTTTCGGCTTTATCTTTTCATTTGGTCCTACAAAAATGAGATAAAACGTAATTTTGAATGTAGTAATGAGTTTATGGAACAAAAATTGATTCTATTTTCATTCTCTTTCAGTTACTTGCTTTAGATTGCTTCTAGAGTAACATACAGGGCCTGGGAGGTGTAAATCATCCGTCTTTCTGAGTCATAATGGTGGGCCAAACCAGTTACGTGCCTCCACCTTATATTCCATTGAGTCAGTCTGAATCAGAAATGGAAACTGTACCATCCAAGGATGAGATACCTGCTCAGAAGCATAAAAATGATGGCTCCTTGCAGTGGTCTTCTGGAATCTGTGCTTGTTTTGATGATATGCCGAGCTGTACGCTACTTTCTGCCTTGTGATCTTGATTTATCAGAAGGAAAAAATGAATTAAGGTGCATTTTTGAGTAGTAAAATGAAAATAAACAATATGCGTCATCGGTTTTATATGATCACAGTAATATAGACAATGTATGTGTGCTATCTGTACGATGGTCTGCTGAAGTGGAAGAAGCCATTCATAAATTGCTAATAAATTATGTGTAACATGTCCAAGTCTTGTCAAATTGACTTGACTACCCAAAAGTGGGATAAAATGGACCTTTTGAACGAAGGGTGAAAAGAATTGAGTCTTAACTCTTTACTGCAATGGCCTAGATCATTGTCTATGCATTAAGGTAACTATCTAAATAAAGCCCAACGTGTTTTCAGATAGGACTCATCATCTCTAACTATGCAACTGTCATAGTGACCAATCCTCTATTGAGAAAAAGAAAATTACTCTGCAGAGTTTTCAACTGGATTCTACCTTCATTTGCTGTGATATACGTTTCAGGATATTTAATATGTGGTATTTGTTTGTCTACTGAAAGTCATTATAGTTAGAGGAATAATATTCTCAACATACTTTGTCATATTGCTAAGGTGATTTACAATTTTTAACACCAGTGTTATTGTCAAAGCTAGCCATTTTCATATCATTGAACAAATCAACAGCTTAATTTGAATATGTCAACAGATATCATTTGTCGATTTTACCCGATGATCTACTATTAGCCTTTATATTCAATCCATTTAGGAGGGAGAGTTAAAACAAAATACTATTGCTATTGATACCATGAATACATGGCACAAAACTACGAGCTCATAGATTTTACTTGGGGGGTAATATTATTGTTATGTAAATTCTGTGAACGTGGGTCATTTCCAATTGCTTTCATGTTTCACACTCACGGTACGGCACATTAATACCACATGCAAATCTTCAGGATTTGTTACTTGCTTCATGGACACGTGTTTAGCTTACATGCTGGGAAAAACTTTATGTCTGCTAACAATTAATTTAAGCAAATGTGTTGAAGGATAGGTGCTTAGGCGAATAACCCATAGATTCCTTTGTAAAAAAATATTCAACAAGGTGTTTAAGTTTTATACTTTTTAAAATGATAAAAAATAGTCAGCTGCACTACAAACGAAGAACCATTGACTGCATTGCACATTTGAAACTTAATAAGGCCTCTAGATTGCTTATATGCATCAAAACCTTAGGTTCATTCTTCTAGAGACATATTAACCTTACATCCATATAGTTAAATATGTCATTAGCATATGTCGTACATAAGTATGCTTTGGAGTTAATATGACCGATAAATCCAGTAGGCTGTTTTAATTTTGTGGTCCCAGATGATTTATATTATCATTTAATGTCCTTATAGATATTCACTAATTGTACTTTGTTTTGCTCAGGTTGTATTGGACTTGTTTGTCCTTGCTTCCTTTTTGGGAAAAATGCAGAGTTTTTGGGGTCTGGAACTCTTTTAGGATCATGCATGACACATTTTATTTTGTGGGGGCTGGTCAATACACTTTGCTGTGTGTTAACTGATGGCATTATATGGGGTTTACCTGGATGCTTTGTCGCATGCTATGCTTGTAGCTACCGGAAGACTTTAAGATCAAAATACAATCTGCAGGTATAAGTCACATTGCTTTGGCACCAATACTGTTACTACATACATCTTTAATTGTCAACACTAAAAAGAAAGGCCATATAACTTTTGTGTCAATCATGTTAGTTCTTTTCTCCTTTCATTTTATTCAGTTGCTGTAATGCTTTGACAAGTGATCTTTTGGGAACATGGTGTGATGGGTGGCTTGGTATTATGATGATGTGGTGTGGTTTGTAGGGACATAGGTTGTCTGATAGTTGACACTTGACCACTGTTTTAAGCCCTAACAAAAGTTACTGCCTTCTTAGTAGTTAGACCTAGGCCGTTTGAATTGATCTTGGAGCTGTGTTCTCATGGTGTTATCCAGATGATTCTGAGTTTGTAACTGACTCATTAATTGTCTGCAACGAGGACATTGTGTGCTTAAATTGGGAATTTGAATGCACTCTCAAACAGTCACCGATGTGAATTTTTTTGGAGTGGTTTATAACAAATTGATTTGGCTATTAACTGAATACTTTGGTTAACTATTTTGGTCAATGGTTCCAGCTGGAAGTTTAAATGCTTGTAATAGTTGTTAGATCCAACTTGTTACAATTGGCCTAAGAACTGCCTGCTGAAGTGATTCTGAGGGGGGAGTTGTCAATCAATCTTAGCAACCTGAGTACTAAGCATTACATTAGATGGCAACCATTTTTCATTGAATTCTAAGTGGGTAGATTGTGATCCCCTTCTCATGTTGCATTGTCGGGAATGAAATTGTCTTGTTTGATATCTATAGCTTTCGTTTAATTTTCGTTTCTACGGAAGCATATTGGAAGGTACTTGAAACTTTCCAATATCATGCCCTAAGACTTGTATGCATAAGAAAATCCTCACCTCCACTGCCTTGATGGAGTATTACATTTAACTCCAGAAAATACTCAGGTTGCATTTGGTGTACCGTGTTAGACTTATAAATAATTTAATCTAGAAATAATGGATAGTTTTAGGTGGATGGTATTATGGTGGATTAAGGTGGATATTTTTTATCTTTTAGTAAATAGAAATGTCATTTGCATTATCAACCTCATAATATAATAATGTGGATGGTGGAGATGATTTTAGACAGAAAAGATATCTAGTATAAACAACTTCTTCTTCTTCTTCTTCTTTTTTAACTAAAAAATCAAAGAATTCTCTCCACCATAATACCATCCACCCAATACTATTCATTCTAATTTTATACCGCTTAATATGGTGCATCAAACACAACCTCAATGTCGCAGTTGTTGGCAGTGAAGAGGGATAATGTATCTCATGTCATGTGACTTTTTGTTAACATCTATGGACGACAAGCCGTAAAAATTGACTATTAGCAAGGCTCCATCCCGCTATAAGATTATGCTATTTTACGTTACAAACATTCAATGGCATGGTATGCAAGTTCAACTGCTAAAGACACTTCAACACCACATTTCATTTGTGTGAAAGGAAAAAAAAGAAGAAGAAGAAGAAGAAAAAGGAAAGGCTGAAGGGAGTAGTCAGAAATTATAGCGCAAACCTTCAAGAAATATGTCGAATGACATAAAAAACGCTATTGATGAATGAGTTTTTGGATAGTCAGAATTGCTAGTAGGGTTGTATGATCATTAGCCATAGCGCTTCATAAATATCCAGTATGACATTAAAAGTGCAGGAAGGACTTCGTTTACCTGACTGTTAGATAATTAATCAAGAATGGCGGTTAACCATTACATCTGATGTTTGCCTAATCCTCATTGGCTATTTTATAGTACTCTAACTGTATACTTAAAATCAATTATTAGCTTTCCCAATGAATCGCTTTGTGAATTCTTAACACAGGAAGCTCCATGTGGAGATCTCTTCACACATTTTTGTTGCCATTTATGTGCTATTTGTCAAGAGTACAGAGAAATCCGTGAAAGGTCTGGAGGCTGGAACTCGTCTGACCTGAACTTGGTGGAAGTGACTGCCCCTCCTATTCAGACAATGGAATCGGCTTCCACATAACAAGTCCATCCGTTACCATGCCCTTATTCACCTTGTATTATACTGTTCACTTTGTGCTGCTTCTCGTGTGCATGGGATATTTCTTTCCTTATCTCCCTTGTCATTTTTTTCTTCTCGTTTCTGTGCAATATAAAACTCTGTACGATTACAGAATGCTTTGGCAGATTTAGTTTTCTGGTTTATCATGCCAAAGAAGTTCACCATGGGCAGGTTATGATCCTTACCCTTTAGTTTCCTGGGCTTTCTGAACTCAGGTAGATGATGATCAATTGGTTCCATGGTTAAAATCATGTGAAAATATACTGTTTTAAGTTTTTTCAGTTGCGCCAATACTGGCACATTTGCCAGACTCGATGCATTTATACTTGCCAGAACACGTTAGAACAGGGAGAGGTAGACCAAAACTTACAAGGACATTCCAGTTGTTCTAGTATTGTAATTTTTTCACATTTTGTTTTGAACGTTGTTATGTTCTATTTATTACAGCAGTGAAGTTATAATTCTAATACTATGGTGAGTGATTTATTAGTGAAAAATACCTTAAATACGTCAATTTATTGCAGCCTTTTACTTCAAGTCATCATCTGCAACATAATCCATGAACTGCTGAAATTGATATTAATAAATTTTCGATTTTTTGTTTTGCATTTTGAAACAATCTGATCGATATGTTTGAAATGAATAAAAAAGTTTAGTTTAGTATAGAAAGTGCCTGTAATTTTTTAATTTTTTTGAAAAATTAAGTGACTTAAAAATTCCTGAACATGGTGATAGTCATGGAACAGTGGATGTTAGGTCATTTTACATGATAGAACCGTTTGAATTTGTATATAGCATACTTGACACTTGCATGATTGTCAAAAATTGATTGGATGGAAAAATATTTTTCTTTTTTTTGAAATTGTCAAATCACAATTTGTCACGTGGATGAATGTAAACAAAGGGTGCACGATCATGTATAACAAAAAGTCGTTTTAGACAACCAATTTATAAATAATTTTAGTCAAAATAAAACATTATTTTCATTCACATATTAATAATTTATTATTCAAGTATTTTGTGGATTTACTACTATTCCCTTTTACAAATTGATTAATTAATTTGTCAAATGGAGGTTAAGACTTTATTGGCTGACCGTAAAGTATAAGATTGAAAAAGTCTATTTGAGTCGGATTAAAATCTGATTTTAATTTAAGTCAAAGTTAAAAAATCAATATTAATCATATCTTTCATGGGTCCCATATCTTTTAAACCACACATTTTAAAAACTTCTATCACAATTCACTAAAAATTTAATTTTAATTCCTACCAAACATTCTCTTAATATGCTTAACACATGTAAAGTAATGAACGGTAAAAGAATCAACGATCACACAATTCATTATAAAAAGTAAAATTTTCATGGATTTTTAGATTCTTTATACCCGCGCTTTAACCCCGACCAACGCATATCAAAAAATCCGATATTTGAATGATTGTAGAAAATTAAAAGGAAAATTCTCTAGTTTTTTTCACTCATTTAGTTGGGAGAAATCAATTGGGACAAAAATATTCTTTTGGACTTGGACAAACTCTAGTGCTAAGGCATTCAACATTGTAACATAATCTTTTATTATTATTATTATTATTATTATTATTATTAAATTTTGGTTTTAACACTAAGAAGTGGATTATTGGGAAAACTTATATTCTACATAGAATTATTATATTAAATTTTGGTTTTAACACTAATGTAACCAAGATTTCGAATAACTAACATGACAATGACGACGGTTTAGCTAGGCATTGTGAAGCCTAGTTTATATCGTAGAATGGGATGACAAAAACTTAATAAAATAATATTTTAATTGTAAATCAATGGAATAATTAGCCGACATAATTGAACTTATGGAATTATTATAATGTTGTTAAAGTATACGACAAGCGTATTAGTTTGGTAACGACGCAAGTTCGTATCTTAATTAATTATATTTAGTTAAAAGTACTATGAATAATTGTGATGTCTTGTGCTGAGACTTTATTGTTTGGCTTTTGGGAAATGCACTTTGCCTCGTAAACAACTTCAACCTAACCTTGGATGTTTTTCATTTTTGTATATTGAATTCGAAAAGATTGAATATAATTAAAAGAGAAATAGCCCCCACAGGCGTGGCGTAGTGGTAAAGTAGGAGGGTTCTCTATAGAGGATCGAATGTTTGAATTCCCTCAGCAGCTGGAAGACAACATCTATGTTGGAAGACATAGATTCAAATGAAAGAGAACTGCCGAATGTCAAACTCAAGTGTGTATAACCTGTGACCGCATCCGGATTAATTTAGGGGCGGCGAACCGAGGGGGAAGACTGCCACTCCTCAGGATTAGTCGGGTGAAACTTAGACACCCGGGTCATAAAAAAAAAGAGCGAAGAGAAATAGGCGATATATTTGTTGCTTATATAGATTAACTGTTTATTCCAGATTTTAATTTAAGTCAAAGTCAAACAATCAATATTAACTACCTCTTTCATGGATCCCATACTTTTTAACCACATATTTCAAAAATTTCTATCACAATCTACAAAAAATCTAATTTTAATTTTTACCAAATACCCACTAAATAAATGAATAGTTTAATGGTCGGTTTCAATTCTTGGAAATGAAAGGGAAGAACAAAAACTGACATCTCTGCTTTTGTTTAATCCTAGATTATAATTAATTAAGAGAAAACAGAAGAAATTTGTTTTTACCTCTGAAATAATAATAATAAAAAAAGATTATTGTACATAATTTGTAGGTTGTTAAAATAGGAAAAACATAAAAAAATAATAATTAAGGCACGTCTACTTATTAAGGTCATGTTTGGGCCAAATTAAATTCTGATTTTAATCAAAATCAAAATCAAACAATCAATATTAACCATATCTTTCATGGGTCCAACATCTTTTCAACCACACATTTCAAAAACTTCTATCACAATCGACTAAAAATCATCACCAAACACTTTATAACTAAATCATTTTTTTATAGCATGTTCGGCTCTGGTTAAAAGCCTGATAGTTCGACTTTTTAAATGTGCATTTGCGTACTAAACAAATAATTATAATACAAAGCATGTGATAAAAAGTTCTTTATTAAGTTTTAAAACTAAAAAATATTTAAATTCGATTGAGATACAATTAGCTACGAGGTTTAAGGTTTGGGATTTATCACTAATGATGTCGGTAACAATAATGTCAGTCATTAAACACCCGAATTGAGGGAAAGCACAAAGTCCTGATTTCTTAAATTAATGCTAATTTCATGTGATGTTAAGTTGATAGTGAAATATGTTTGTTGTTTTCATTGAAAGGTCCCAATGCTGAAATTCCTTTTTGAAAAGAATCAATGGAAAAAAAAGTTCATACGTTGATGCCTTTATGCTCTTCTTTCCAACAAACAATGCTTTTGTATCCAATCTCCCCCTTTTTTCCTCTGGATTTACCACGTTTTGTATTGCACGTATGTAGGGTGTAAAGATGGATCGAACTGTTCAGATGTACCTTTGTTCGACTTGAAATGCGATAGAATGTTGTTCTCACTGGGATAGTATCATTATTTTGACTAAAGAAGAAAATAGGCAACTTACTTTCCGTATATTGAGATCTATGCGCTTTTTGTGACATTTAGAGAGTTATTGTTGAATAATTGACGTCGATCAACGCGTATATGAAAACAATAAATACATGAATAAGCTTATATAAGCTTCTAATGTCTTGTTAATTAAAAAGTATACTAAAAAAAGTAGATATCAAGATTAATTGATTCATCCATAATATAAAGAGTTACATAGAAAATTGAAGATATCCCAAATTTTCTATCAATTCAAAGTATAGCCAGCAAGTTAATTCTTGAAGCAAATATTGATATTAAGAAAAATTAACAAAAATAATATCTCACCTTAATTATTCTTAAAATTTAAACAAAAATGAAACTCTTGAGTTCCAAGTAAATAATAAAACGGTGAGTAATATTATTCATAGTTAACGACTGCATTAATTATCATATGTGGCATCTTATGTGGTATAGCATTATGAAATATTATTCAATTTTTAAATTATTAAAATTATAACTCGTAAGATGCGTTACATAAAATGATAACTACAATCGCTGACTATTAATAACATTATTGTAAAATGTTAGTTTAAGACGTCAACATTTGTTATAAATTACGATAGCTTAGAGACTTGAATTTTACTAAGGGTCTGTTTGATTCTTATTATTGTACAATGAGAATAAAAAGTATAATCGCTATTGAGCTCCACATAAGAAATAGAAATTCAAAATTGATGATTTGATGTAATGAATAACGATTATATTTTTCATTTTTATGGATGAAAAATGAGAAACAAACGGGGTGTAAGACGCACATTTATGTGGTATTAATCGTCCAAACCTAACTTCATTAATATCATAGTTCCAACACTTGGATTCCTAATCTCCATTTACTTTTACTATTTCCTAGAAAAAGGAAAGGATTGTTCAAATCAACATGAGTTTAATGTATCAGTTACACAAATTAGGTTTAAAGTTAGGTCTAAAATAATGAAATGACATAGATTTTTTTCAAAAGTGGGATCAAATTAGGACAGGCGGTGTGATGTGTGTTCAAAAGAGTTTCTCTTTTGAGTTTTGAATGTTGAATTTTCTTAATCAGAAAAGCCTTTAAAATAAAGTTTTTCAGAAAAGAGACAAACAGATTCTGTGTTTTTGCTCTAAAATCGAGATTATAAGGAAAAAAGAGCAGTTCGATGGGGACTGTCACCACCCACACGAGGGGTTCTCGATTTGCATGCACACACACGCACACATGTATAGATATAGAGAGAGAAACTTATAGATATAGAGAGTGAAAAAATGTTTGTTTAACGTCTCAAAACACGGACCTAACCTCAAATAAATTGAGGACAAAAGAGGGTCTGTTAAAGAAAAACGCATTCTGGATCCTCGTCACTTTCTTTGAGGTTTACTGTTAGAGAAAGCCCCCTTCTTTCTTTTCTTTTTTCATCTTTTCTGCTTCAAAAACCTTTAAAAAAAAAACTAACTTTGAACCCCCAAAAGAATGAGATTTCTGTCTGTTGTAAGAATTCCCTTTCTGCTCTTGTTGGCATTGTATAAGCAATAAAGGAATAAGTCATTTTTTAAATATTCGGTCAATTTTCTTGTTAGATTGTCATTTTCCTTGCAAGATTTGCAGTCATGATGAGAGGGATTTCCAGTGGCTTTCAAGATTTGACATTTATGGCCCATTCTGAGATGAGGTTTCAGTATTTGAATGCTCCAATAGAGCAAAATCTGAAAAGGCCTTGGCTTTCACCTCCAATGGGAGAGGGAAGATCAATAAAGTGGAAAAATGATGTCACTGAGAATGAAGAGACTGGGAGAAAAACTGGACATAGAAAGCTATGTGCCAGAGGCCATTGGAGACCTCATGAAGATGCTAAACTCAAAGAACTTGTTTCTCAATATGGTCCTCAAAACTGGAATCTCATTGCAGAAAAGCTACAAGGAAGATCAGGCAAGACTACTCAAGTTTTAGTTTTGAACGTGCTGATATATATTACTTTTTCTTGCTGTGCTTAAAATCCATTCTGGAGTAGTGAATATTCTATACTTCGGGGTATACTAGAAATTTCCACCTTCTAGGCACTCTTTTAGGCTATTTCGGTGGATATAAACGCATATAGCCTAGAAATGCACTTAAAAAGTGCTTTTAAACACGACCAAATTTGCTCACATTTGTGAAAATTTTAAAACTTACTTTTACTTTTAAGTAAAATTTTTAAGCTTAGCAAACCATGCTCCATACTTATTGCTTTTCATCTATTGATTTATATATTCATTTTTCATCACTTTTATTTATCGATTTCTCATTTGATTGAAAATTTTCAGGGAAAAGTTGCAGATTAAGATGGTTTAACCAGTTAGATCCAAGATTAAACAGAAGGGGTTTTACTGAGGAAGAAGAGGAAAGGCTTTTAGCTGCACATAGAATGTATGGTAACAAATGGGCTATGATTGCTAGGATTTTCCCTGGAAGGACTGACAATGGAGTCAAGAATCATTGGCATGTGATAATGGCAAGAAAAAATAGAGAGCAAAATAGTGTTTATAGAAGAAGAAAACTCTCTTGTTCAAGGGTCCAAACAAATGGATTTTCTTTAAATAACATAGAAAATAAGGCTTGCATTGAGTCAATCAAGACTAATGACTATATTATTGATGAATCTGCTGTCTCAACCTGCACTGATCTTTCCCTCACTCCCTCTTCTGTTAAAATGACTCAGTTTTTCAGCAGGTTTAGACCTGTCCAGCATCACAATCTATTGGAATCAAAGATAGGTATGCTGACTTTTGTCCTTTTTAAGTCTTGGACAGTGTGAAGTCCAATTGTACTGTTGAATTATCGCGCGGACTGCCAATCAACCTATCTATTATTCCTATTATTTTTAGTGCAAGAGGCATTCGATTCGATCACTTTGTCCTATTCTTCTCTTTTATAGGGGAAACAGCAAAATAGAGTAGGAACTATTTCTCATGAATTATGGTTTATTTGTTTATATAAATCCCTTTGTTTAACTTGAGTTTCAGGTTTAACAGGAGAAGAAAACTTGCTGGTTCATAGTAACGGTCAGTACTATGGGAATGAGCCAATGGCTCATGCTGCAGAAATGGATCAATCAGGTCACTCAGATTCTCATGAATTATGGTTTATTTGTTTATATAAATCCCTTTGTTTAACTTGAGTTTCAGGTTTAACAGGAGAAGAAAACTTGCTGGTTCATAGTAACGGTCAGTACTATGGGAATGAGCCAATGGCTCATGCTGCAGAAGTGGATCAATCAGGTCACTCAGATTCAAATTCTGAAGTTACTGCGGCATCTGAATCAGTAGCCAACTACAGGGCCAATCTCTACATGTTTGGGGAAAATGAGAATGGAAAATTTGAGACCAACAACATTGCATTCATTGATTTTCTTGGAGTAGGAGCCACTTGAGGAATACTCGCTCGTGTGTTAAATGTGTTTTGTGGGTTGGGTAGAGTGGGGTGGGGGTGGGGTCCTAGTTTACTGTGAAAATCTTGAAAGTTCAAATAGTAGCAGATATATTAAGTAGGCTAGCTGCTACTAATAATGGTTTGCCTAATCTGTATCTCTCCATTTGAGCCTAGTACATGCAGAAAAAGTGGGATATGCAGGGGAGCTTGGGGGTCTCTTGAGTCTGCATGCACAGAAAATTTCATTAATGGAAAGAAATTACAGCAGTGAAAACTCTTGAAAAGTGGGAACAAAAGTGAGGATTGAGCAGAATTCACGTGGCATATAATCATGCTTGCAAAATAATTTCTTTTGGACTCATGTTCTTGTCAATTTTCTCTGCTACCTAGTGCAATAATTTATTTCTGCTTATAATCTGGAAAAGTAAAAGTTATTTTTTTTTTTACCTGCAACACTGACTAATCAATCAATGAATCCGCCTTTCTTTTCAATTTTATGTCATCTTACTTTATGAACTGAAATGACTTTATCCGTTTTTTTGGTTTCTTGCATGTATTTGTCCATTCATCACTTGCATATATTAATGATCTCTTTGTGTAATTCAATGGACTGCATCACTTGCAGTTGCATCGCATGGTTGATCAAAAATCTTGTACTCTTTTCCATATTTCATTGGGAATATGATTAGGGTTACAAGATATTATAACGATTTATGTTAGTTATCAATCAACATATTACAACCTTTTTTAGAACTTATTCTAGAACTCAATTAGCATGAATATCAGAAACTAACATTGTTCATTCTCAAGAAAAGAAGTGCAAACAACTGTAATTATTAACAACACACGACATTTGAAATCTAAACTATTGCATTGCTTATAGAAAACCAACCAGCAATTGCGACAATATAAGTTCTACTTGATTCGAAAATAATTTTGATAAATAATAATACGAAAGTTTTTCGAACACTCACTAAGTTTAAGTGTCATCAAATGAATTATCGATTTGACTAGGATGTTGATCGACTTGGACTTCTATTAATACCAAGCCAACTCATTGGATATATTTTGAAGGGGATTTTGCATGGATATAATTAATATGAAAAAGGCTCAAAAACTTGTCCATTTTTCAAAATGTTGCAAAAATGTCATTTTTAGTGCAAAAAGTCCAATTTACCCTTTTATTGCACAATTAATGTCAAGATTTGATGTGTGTTTTGTTGGAGAAGCTACTCATAAAATTTAGTTATTACACAATAAATAATGGATTTGTTAACAAAAAAAATCATTATTTCCCAGCATTTTCTTTAGATGCATTTCTCTAAAAAATATACATGCATTTCTCTTACAATTGAAATATTCAGGTTAAGATTATAGTGAATTTATCTTCCAATTTGAGGTTAGCATTTACAATATATTGCAGTAGAAAATTGCAACTATTTTTTTTATGTAAAGCATTGCACTTGTTGAAAGACGATGTGTTCTGGACAATTTAAATGTTTGTCCAAATAGTTAGCTTCTGTTTTTCTCGACAATCTAACTATACTACACATTAGAAATTGGATAAAATAGATACAAGAATTCTGTGACAAAATTAATCCTACTTCATAGTAGGACTGAGTACCCAAGTAATGATAAACTGTCTTATTATCCATCAACATAAACTAAACGGACATAAAATAAATTTGTTCAACTTAATCAACGTCATACAATGTCAAACAAATATAAGAAATTAGAAATCCAAATGGAGCACATCGTTTTCCAAGAAAATGAGGTCCTACTTTGTGCCTTTCTTGTGGACAATCCTTGTGTAGGAGGTCGACTAGCTACTGATGGAAACTTAATACCCAATGAGCACGTTTCTCCCGTTCAAGGGCGGAGCCAGGATTCAGTGAGACGGGGGGCTAGTGAGTTAGACAGTGGGCTACTGGGTTGGACAGAAAAAAAAGTGCTATAAATTTTTTTTTTTTTTTCTTTTTTCTAGTAGAATTTGGCTTGGGCTGGGGTGGGCTAACCCAGTAGCCCACTGTCTAACTCACTAGCCCCCCGTCTCACTGAATCCTGACTCCGCCCTTGCCCAGCCCACCCCTATCTCCGCCCATGCTCCCGTTTCACCCCAACATCTTATTCGACGTCCTTCGCATGTGAGAGGTTCTCCTTCTCATTGTCAGTGTATGACAATGGTACCTCTCGGCAGATGCATCAAGTTAGTTAGAGGAGTTAGTTAATTTCTGTTGTTTTTGTTATTCAATCAGTTGAGCTTCTTCTATAAATAGAGCTCAAGTTCTTGTAAATCAATTAATTGAATTCTTCAATTCAGCTTTAGTTATGTTCCTTCTTTCCTCCCATTTCTCTGGTTTAATTTTGCAATTTAACATGGTATCAGAGCTGAATACCATACTTGCTTCCGCGCCTTTTCCTTTTTTGGATCTGTACTCATTCTAACTTATCGGATTCTGCACTCACCGGATATCCTAACACTTACCGGATTAAGCCTAAGTAACTTACCAGATCTGTACTCACCATATATTTTAACACTCACCAAATTGAGCCTAAGTAACTCACCGGATTCTGCACTTACCAGATATCCTTCATACTTACCGGATATTCCTAGTACTCACCGGTTTGAGCTGTACTTACCAAATTGATCTACAAATCTGCTCGAGATTTTCTCTGGAATCTCAAACCCCTATCAATTTTTCTATTATTCTTGATAAAATGATAGAAACAAATCATCTCAATCCTTCAAATGATTCATCTAGCCCATATTATCTCCATCCTAGTGATAATCCGGGTTATCTTTTGGTCTCAGAAATATTTGTAGGAGATAATTACATTGCCTGGAGCCGCTCGATCACCATTGCTCTGACTGTGAAGAATAAGGTGGCTTTTATTGATGGTTCAATCTCTACTCCTACTGCTACTCAGAGCATCCTTCATACTGCTTGGCTTCATGCAAATAATTTGGTACTTTTCTGGCTTATGAGTTCTATTTCTAAAGACATTAGAAATAGTTTACTCTATGTTGTATCTGCTATGGATCTTTGGAATGAATTGAAAACAAGATATTTGAAAAGTGATGGCCCAAGGGTTTTTCATCTTGAAAAATCCCTAAGTTCTATAAATCAAGGTTCATCATCAATTACAGAATATTTCAATGCCTTTAAGACTCTTTGGGATGAATATGTAAGCCATATGTCGTTTCCAACTTGTACATGTAGCAAAATGGCTCCCTGCACACTTGACCTGTTCGATTTCCTATTACTTCTACAACAATCAGATTATGTGTTGAAGTTCCTTATAGGCCTTAGTGATTCCTATGCGTCTGTGAGGACTCAGTTATTGCTTGTTGCCTAGCATGGCTAAAGTCTTTTCATTGTTGCTTCAAGAAAAAAGTCAGAGGCAATTAACAAATTCTGCAAATAATGAATCTCATGCTTTGATAGCAAAACAACACACTCAGCCTAATCAATCAGTTCATTTCCAATTAATGTTACATGATTATCCCCCTAGATGGACTGGACCAAAGGGAAAGAGGAATCCTCCCTCTGCACACACAGCCATTTCAACTGAAGAGGTTTGCATTCAAGGTAGTAATAGAATCAAAGGTTCAGTTTAACCGCTGAAGAGTTTAATAAACTTATAAAACTTGCCAATTCAAGTTCCACTCCAAAAACTGGTATACCCACAGCAATAGTAGCAAATGACCAATCGATGAAGATGATGATTAGGATTCCATTTGAGAAACAAGGACTTTATCACATCTCTCAAGTTCCTTCCAAAGTTGCTTCCTGTCAGCAACACCAATCTACTAATTCCTGCCAGCAATCTGTAATTCTGCTTTTGGACCAGTCCTTGCTTCAGCCACTTCTCAAAACCTTTGGCACTACAGATTAGGCCATGTTTCGAATTCTAGAATTCGTTTCCTTAGAAAAATAGACAATTCAATAACATTTGATTGTGCAAATGTCTGTGAAATCTACCCTCTAGCAAAGCAAAAAAGGCTCTCTTTTCCTGTATCACAAAGTGTTTCTAGTAAAAGGTTTGATTTGATTCATTGTGACATATGTGGTCCTTTTTCCACAATATCATATTTTGGTTTCAAATTCTTCCTTACCACAGTAGATGATTTTACAAGATGCACTTGGGTATATATGCTAAAAAATAAATCTGAGGTGTCTTTCTTGCTGCCAAACTTCTGTAAAATGGTAACCACTCAGTTTAACACTCATGTCAAAACCATAAGAACAGACAATGGTTCAGAATTTACTCTTGTAAAGTTTTACACGGAACATGGAATTTTACATCAAAGGAGTTATGTTGAAACCCCACAACAAAATGTGGTTGTTGAGAGAAAACACCAACACCTGTTAAATACAGCCAGAAGCCTGATGTTTCAAACAAATTTACCTTTAACCTTTTGGAGTCATTGTGTGCTAACTGAAGCACATATCATAAATCTAATTCCAACCCCTTTTCTTCAGAACAAAACACCTTTTGAGATGTTATTTCACAAACCACCTAATCTTTCTCATTTAAAGGTCTTTGGATGCTTATGCTTTGCATCTACAATCACGAGCCACAGACAAAAGTTTGATCCAAGAGCAACTAAGTGCCTATTTTTAGGATATCCATCTGACGCCAAATGTTACAAACTCATGAAGCTGAGCATAAACAAGATCATCATTTCCAGAAATGTTGTCTTCCATGAAACCAACATTCCATTCAAGCAGCTTCCTTTTCATTCTGAAATATCAAATTTTCTATTTCCTCCTACAAAATTTTCACATGAAACCTCTATCTCAAATAACCCTATATCTTCCTTTGTTCCTATACCTTCTGATCAAAATTCTCCTTCACAAGAACCCTCAAATTCCTCACAAATCGACAGCCACTATCATACTGATGCTGCAAATTCCATTCCTATTGATTCAGCATATCCCATTACCACTGATTCTCACATCAGAAAATCGACAAGACCTAAACAACCACCAAAATTTC